CAGCACCACCGCCGCCGCCGCCGCCCCCGCCGCCACCATCCCCCCCATCAAACCGCCCCCTCCACGGCTACTACTGCCACCGCAAGTAGCAGTAGGGAGACAACTCGACATTGAACGTCGTCCTGGCCAAACCTTCTCGGTGTGTTGCTCTGAATCATTGCAAAGTATGCGCTTGCTTCTTATCTACCATGGCAAGACTGATGGTATTGCTGTTTGCCAATCGTGGAAGACTTCCCTGACAATTGCCATTGCGCCCTGGCTGTGTCACGATTAGCAAACACCTCGAGGTTACCTCGCCCATTACACTCTCATGTTTCTCCGGGTGACTGCCGACCCAGAGGTTTACAAGTTACGGGACGGCACGAACATGATTATGAGAAGACAGAAGGCTCTGCGGGCCTAACACCTTTGGTCGGGAAGAGCTTTCATCAGGCAGCAGGGAGAAACAGCAGACCAGGCACCGCCATCTGGAACCGCTCATCAGGGTCCTCATCGAAATCCTTCATGCCCGGATGCCGCAGCGCCAAGGAGCTTCGGCAGCTTCCTGCTCCAGCCAGGCGCTTCACTACTTCAGGAATCTGAATGATTGAGAGAGTTCGGGTTTCAAGAATCAGCCTTTTACCACTGGGGTGAGGACTCAAAGAAAGTGTGCTACCTGGCACATCCACGTAACGTGCCTAGAGAGTTCGGAAGTTATAGATAAAGCACTTAATCCTCAACTTTCCCACCAGGTCCCTCGTCCGCCTATGAACTCAATGGCATCGCCCGGTTTCCACTTGAAGTTCTCGTCCCGTAGCTTGTCGCGCCCGCCACACGGAAGGGGGTCCTCATCTGGCACCTTCCTTAGATGCTAGCGCCTCTCCTGGACTGCTACGACTACTACTCCTACTACTACTACTACTACTACTACTACAACAATGGGGACATATCAGGTTCCCCACGAACTGTTGCAACTTGGCGCTAACGACATAGACCTGCATCTGGTGACAAGCACTTTTATATACATGACTCTGACTTCGCTGTTGCCTGCGCCCAGCATATCTACGTGGCAGTACTATGGAGTCAGAAGATGCTCTTCTTCGACCACTGAGGGCCCACTACCAGCACGTGACATGAATCCTGCCGCCTGGCCCTCCTCCTGAAAAACTGGAGCCCTCCTTTCAACTGCGCAACTATTTGATTTTGATGCTGGAACGGGTTATAACGGTTCGAAAAGCAGTGCCCTGCTGCAGACTCTACAGCCTTTCTGCTGAGGTGCTTGTCCCCTGGTCCCGGTGCTGGACAAAGCTCCCACAAAGCCTGCAAGGGATAAGCTGAAGACCGGACAAGAAAAAAAGAACCTTCCACAGCAGAATCCAGCCAAACCGCAACTTAGGCGTTGGGCAAGACGGCTCTGCCTGTGAGCATGCTGTGGTATGATGGTCTAAACCAACCCAAACACGATAGCAGCTTCCATTTTCTTTCCATTCCACTAGCTAACCATGTGTGAACCCTACATAAACCGCATATATACCGCATGTAAACCACATAACCCATAAGAATGTCATCGAATCCGAGAGGCAATGCGCCTGTTCTATCACATGACAGCCCCTCCCACAACCAGGCGGCCAAAACCAGTCGGGAGGCTTCCGCTGCGCAATACAGAAAAGTACCGTTGCCACGTCCCTAACTGTCTCCAAGCATTTCTCTTGCACCCAACCCTCCTTCGAAACAATGCCCAAATCCTGAAACCCTTGACCCCCAAACCCCTAGGTCTTAAACCGCTTAACCAGACGACTCGGAGGCTGCTTCCGCAAGGTTCTGCCTTCTTTCGCATGCGCAAGCTGTTTCGGGCTCCAACCTGCATCTGCCGCAGCTTAAGCTAAGTTATCAACATATGGGTACATAACGCAAAGCGAGAGCGTCTCTCCAGTCTAGTAACTTAAGGAAGTCCCTAGCAACCCAGGCACAACAGGCATGGAGTTGCATCCCACCCCCCGGATTAGAAGATTGACTAGGAAGGGGTGAGCTGCGGATGTGCTTCAACATCTCACGAGCTGCAAGCTGTGCTGTGACCTTCACGGTATCTGACGAAAACTAAGCAAAGCCTCAAGAATGCAGATCTTTGCTTCTGGAAATGTCTGAGGTAATTTCAGAATAGCCCTGCCCGCCCGAGCTACAATTTTATCCGGTCCCTACATATCTATTCCATACTCTCTGTTTGCCTTACAGTGTTGCTTGTGTGCGTTTCTGCCCTGAAGAGAACGTGTTGACACATTTGTTGGTGTATGTAGCTCCTAGACAAACTTCGCACCTTGTCTGGGTAGGATACAAGGCAAGCTTCGTTCTCATCCTCCCCACGCTTCACGCGCACCTGCCCACGGAAAGAAGTTTGATGCATAAACAGTCACAACCCTGTATACGCCATACGTCTTCTGAACTTGAAAGTTTACAGAAAAGGAAGCTTGCAACCTGTCCACCGAGGATGCCAACATGACCATGGCCGTAAAAAAGAAATCCTCATTTTCGTTCGGCTTCCGGCGTAAATGTTGGTGAGTTCCGGTCAGCGGCAAGGAGTGATGGCAGGGCAGCAGGAGCAGCTTCCGACTCTTTGTCCATCTGCTACAGTACCACCACTGCTGTTGAACCACTACTGCTGGCACCACCGACCCTCATGAGACCGGATGAGCCGCAAGAGCCCAACAGTCCGTGTGTGCTGCGAGTTTCTTTGGCCCTTCAATTATCAGTGAACTTATTTTGCAACCAGTGCCTCGAGGCACTGTCTCTGCAGTGTGGCCAGCTGGCATCACCGCCACCAGTAGCTACAACTGATCAGAATCTGAAGCATATAAGGTGGGTAGTAGGACAAGGGTGACACTGAATCAGACTGAATCTGCTCATACCTTTGTCGCGTCGCAAGCTGGGATTGTTTAGTTCTTACCAACATCAAAGATCATTGGTTTTTGTAAGTATGTCTTGACATGAAACCCTTCCATAAGAAGTCAGTGGCCAGCCTGTGTCTGCAATGGGTGCTGACTCATTGTAGAGGGATTATGGTCTGCTGTTCTTGCCCTGGTCTGATGGCGTGGCTCCCCTCTACGTTACGTAGCCATGCTTATTGCAAGCTGCGCGTCATGCTCACAGACCTTGCCTTCGCACCGCTCTTTGCGATCTTGGCCATCTCTTCGGGAAACTTGGCGTACCACAAGCTGCTGGTGTCGATGGAGGCGGCCTCCAGGGTCAGGACACAACTCACGAATGAATGCTGTGCGGGGCGTCCTGGTCAGAGAAAGGATCTGCCAGGATGCAAATTTCCTGATTCAATGCCTCGTAGATGGAATTATGGCCTTGATCTCATGACTCGCAAGCCTTGCAGTGTCAGTTATGCTGAGGATGCCAGAGGATTCACATTCAGAGGACCGTTGCTCTGTTGAGATGGGCTCACTTCATCAACTGCCTTCACAACAACATCTACTGAATCTACTGCATAGCCTTCCTCAACACAACTTGTAATGTGAAGGGTTTCTCACGATTCCGGACCTCCCCTACGGCCTAGTCTGGCATCACACGTGGCTTCTGGGGGTCCCTGTCAGAGATCATGTTGCATGGGACTGCCTCCTCCTCCTTCATCTCCTTCTTCTTGGCGATTGCGTCCTGAACCGGACAGCGAGGAGCCTCCCCAAAACTAGGGTCAATGATGTCTCCCACTCTAATTTTCAGGACCATCTTGATTGGCTGATGGGGGGGTATAGGAGGGGTGTCCGCTTTTGACAAACGACCTCAAATGTTCCTTGAGGGGTCTGAGAGGACACCTGTGGCGAAGCCCTGCAGCTCCGCTTTCTCTCAAGCCAGCTCCGCGACTGCGATTTGCAATGGTATTTGCAGTGGTATTCCCGGGAATGTAATGGCCGCACCAGGTTCAACACAAACACAAGCATAGCAGCGGCTTCATTCAGGAGTCTTCAGAGTTGCTTCATTACCACTGTGCGAAATTCTTATCCGCAGATTGCAGCTGTGGGTCCCTAGCTTTGTCCAGCATCTCCTGCGTGATCTCAGCTGGCTCGAACCTTACTGTTCGCAAAGACTTTCGTTGCAAGCGCAGGGCATATGCCATTCGCCATCTGCTATAGCATGATGACGGATTTCTGGGCCGGCAGCTACAATCCTGAATAGAAATAATTCGATGGTGGCCATACGCGTTCGACTAGTTCTGCATGGGCGGAGGAGCGTGAGCACGGGTAGTATCATCTCAACAACGATCACACTCCTCTCAAGTTCTGGTGGGCAAGGTTATTTGGTTTCCAGAAGCTGCACCTACAGCGCATTAGAAGCGCGACATGTTGTCGCTCTGTGAGATCCCCAGACTTAATGGCCCCAAGCCCTGACATTGTCTACTACACTACTGTGCAATTTGATTAAGCTTCCGTGGCATGATCTCACGACGTACATTAGCACTGGCGGGCATAGTTGACACCAAGCCACATCTTCCGAGCAAAGTTCACGTTGTGCTGAAGGTGGTTAATGTCCTCATACTGTATACCGAATGCGACACTCGGCAGCACGTCTTCCAACTCTGCTTTCGGAGCTTACGCGACCTCTCTGCTGGGAGATGGCTTGACACCTGAAACGCTTCAAAACAAGAAGCTCTGCGCCAACGAACCATCTACCCCAGCAGCCTAACGCTAGAATTCCCATGCCCAGCTCTCAAGCTGCAGCAAAGAAGACCTTGACATGAATGTGCTAGCCCAGGGTCCTCCAATGTCTCCTTTTGGTATCGGAAGCACTTACCTGAGTCAAGAAAAGGGGCTGGCAAGTGCTGGGGTTGAGCAAGAAGGCTTGCCCTTCAATGCCCACGGATCCTTTCAGAGTTCAAGGGCCCATCCCTACACGCCTGAAAATTGCCTCGATAACACCTCTCACTTCAGTTCCTTAACCTCAGCCGCCATTGAGTCTTACAGCTATCTCCGAATAGCCGACTTGTCTGTCAAGGCTCAATCTAGGTCCGGCTTGGGGTTGGGGTCCGGAGCCCCCGGCATCCTTGGCAGAGCATAAGGCTTAGGGATTAAGGCGGAGGGGCAAGGTGGTGACAGCGGAAATGATGGCAAGAACAACACTGGCTGACCTGCACATGGATCGGCATTGCCGCTAGGCGAGGCCTGCTGGCTTAGAGACCTCACACATCAATCGTAGCATGCTGGCATGCCAGCATGAGCCTTCATTCAACCGTGAGAGTAAACTGTACACTGGAAAATGCTCGTCACGAATAGAAATCAGGTGGACGGACAGTACCAAGGCATGAAGTCAGGTGCAGGCTTGGGGAAGACAACACATGGCATGTTAGAACTAGTCTGATGCGACCCTTTGGGGTGTCTGGCTGTTTGCTAAGGGCTGTTGGGTGCCAGCAGAGCGTGCTCTGCGCTTGACAGCCCCTGTCGCACATGCAGATGCGTGCACGGGGATAGGGACCAGAGACTCCATGGACATCAAAGTTTATCCCTAATGAGCTCAAAGATCTTTCTCCTACAGTAGACAAACACGTAACAGGGCCCTACCAATTGTCCAAATTTGCTTCAGTGCGGCAGCTGTCCGCTTTCCAGTCTGACTTGTTCTGTGACGATTGCAATGCAAAGCAAAACGTATGAGGCAGGCATGTCGTGCTAATGTAAACCTAAGTCATGGTTGTAATCCACGGATTTTTTCAAGAGCTCTTGCGCAACTCTTTAGGTGATCATAAAGCAGATGTCAGGGTTCTCAAACCACTGGTCCTGTCCGAGACCCTGTGATGGAAACGCTGAGTCTGCATATAGGGAGACCCTTCTTCAGCTTTGAATATTGAAAGTCATGTTGGGGTCAGAATTTGCAGGCTGTTTTGATCTTTGGGATGCGGTAAGTTGTAATGGAGAGCCGTGGGTAGGCCAGGCCGAAACCCTAAACTCTGAACCCTGCACTTCGCTTAACGTCCTACACCACAAACCTGAAGCACTCCGGTTTGAGACATCCCCAAAACCGAACCATAAACGCAAATCCGGACCCGTTTACAACAGCCAGTCCAAAGATCTGCGCTTCGAAGCTCGACCGCCCGTGCCAGCTCCTGGCTTAGCTGTTGGCGCATGGCCCGACCCCAAAAATAATGCAAAAGACATCGCCAGTGGGTGGGCGGGGGGGGGGGGGGGGNNTCACGAATGCTCACCCATATATCTGTACATAACCCTATAAATCTCTATATACCGTATGTAGCCGCACATGTTCCCCATATCTCTATCCCTAGGACAGCATTTGTCACTTGGTACCCTTCTGGATTTGTGCGTGCTTTCTTTGTGCGTGGGCCATGTTAATATTCTTTGCATTGTTACAATTGGAGGGGAGGATTCTGTTCTCATGGGTTCTGAGGGCTGAAGGCAATGTAGCACCCCGATGCCTTTTTCAGAAAAACACTGGGGCTGATCGTCAAGGGCACAGGCTAGCTGTTACAGCTAGATAGCTTAGCACATGATAATAGCCAGTGAACTAAAGGCAATGTGCGAGAGTCACAAACGAAGCATCGTGAGGATATAAAGGGAAGCTCTCAAACCAAGCTGTAGCTGGTGTGCTGAAGCACCTCAATGCAAGTATGGAGCATGAATGGTTCCGTCCTTTGAAAAGTTATGTACATCATCTAGGCTTTTGCCGCACGTCTGGTGGAAGAGGATGGCTACAGCTCACTGGCATTTCCATGCTGAATTGGCCCGTGATTGAGCCAGAACCTCAAAGCTTCCATGTAAGGATGCCTGATGATGCACTAAAGCCCAGCACGTCTCCCAGGTTTCCAGAGACCAGCATCACGGATTTTGTGGCGACTATTCCAGGGATTTCCGCATTCGCACAGGTAGACCAAGGATCCAACACACATTTTCACAAACCTTCACGAACAAATTCTGCAAGCCCGTCCTAAAGAGGCTCTCAAAGTCTGAAGGCGTCGCCAGCCTCCCATCACAGCTAACGGCATCTCGCATGGATCCCCCAAAGTTCACCCATGATGGCGGGCAAAAAAACTGACAGGCACTCCCCCCAATGAGAAAGAGGCTTCACAAATGACCCGACACCAGCACCAACTCAGAATTAGCTACAGGCTCATGAGAAATGAGTATGATCCATCAGTGCACACCTATGAAAAAGTCAGGTAGGGATATCTGACTGAAAAATGAATGCCCAATCTGGAACACCAGGCAAGCCCATGCGCCCTTCATTCCTCCCCTGTGGATATCTCTCGACTTTCCCCTGATGAAATGACTTGCTGGAGGTTAGTAGGGAAAAAGGGGATATATTATGTAGGGATTGTACGCCCTAGTTCCCGTACTGACCACCAGTAAGATGAGCCATCCAAGCAAACAGTACCACTTCGCAGTTACCTGAAAGCAACGTTTCAGAGCCCTCGGCCAAACGCAGAAGCGCGAAGGACGGATGCTGCATACAGCCGTCCCCCATTTTAACAGGGCTAAAAGCCGAGATTTCAAACCATTTCAAACCCAAGCCTGGGAATATCTTAGATCATACACAAAAACACACAACATCTACACAACCTGAGCAGGCTTAATCTTGACGCTATAATTCTGAATTCCACTACGTCCGAAAAGGATTGTAACTACATTCCGAACCTCAGCGGTATTCATATGCACTCCGCTAATTCCTTAAAATGAATCATACATAAAAGCTCATGTATACAATTTTGGAATTGAGTTGTACCACTGAAAAAACGCCCATAAGAAGTTCGATTCCGCACAGGTTATGGCCGTAGATGATGAGACCTAAATTGTAAGCCCATGCTACAAACCTCAACCAAAGGCGGGAGCCTGTCCAGGAAGAGCTGTTGCAAAGCCCCGCGCATGGCCAGAGAGGGCAGCAGCACACTTTTTTCCCAGTGATCGTGATGCTATGAGGTGATGAGTGCTGTCTGTATAGGTGTCTCTATTGCTGCAAGTGCAACTAAAGCTGCACTTGGGCTATTGAGAAAGTGTGGGAAGCATTGGGGCTTTCAGGAAGGATCCCGGGTTTGAGAGGAAGCTGCCTACCTAAAAGCCGGCTTTGAGCTCAATTCCCTCAGCCCTTGCAAAAGGCCATGATCTTAGCAGATCTCTCTCGGCTTCAGGTTTGGTCTGGTGAAGCACGATCTGATAAGCCAACTGTTGAGCGGCAACGGACATGCTAAAGGAACTATCCTGGTGCAGAGACTAACAAGTGCATCTCACAGATTGGATTGGCCTGCTAAGGCTGCATGATACAATTCAAAGCAAACTTCAGAAGAAGCATTGTGAGCCAAACAGTGGCTGCATCTCAGTCATGCTGCTCACGCGTTTAGCCATGCAGTACAAGCGAATGAAAATTCTAGAGAGCGACCCGTCACAAGACCTATACTGGTAGGACCAAACATCCCGGGCATTCTTTTCTCTTGACCTGAATTTCTTTACATCAACCATTCACGGTCAGGGCTCCACAGCACCATGGAGAGCTTGCAGATGAAGGGCGACCCATGTTTAGCTGTGTCGAATGGGGCCAGTAGAGGAACAGCCATATCAGAAAATGTAAGTTCTCACTCTGATGTTAGGTCAGAAACCAGACGGTGCTCGAATATGACAAGTAATGACAAGAATTATGATGGTTGTGCTTGTGTTTAAGTGACCTATTCAGCCTGGCTCGGGAGATGCAGGGCTGATCACTGGATCCCACGTGCGAACAACACCTGGACCTTGTTTCCGCAGAGGCAACATGCCAGTCCAAGCAGTCTGCGCGAAGCCTCGTGCAAATGGTTGGGAGGAGCACACATGCGGTCCTGCTTGTGTGGCATTTGGAACAGAATTCACTGCTAAATGCATCCTTATCTCTCATGAAACTGTTGCTTGCTAGGCTCTCTTGCGCTTGTCGTTTCTGTTAGCGAGTGCATCCCCGTAATGTTTGTTGTTGAGTTCAGGAGTCAAGGTTGTTAGACCTGATGTGGAGTTACGCTTCATGTTCAGATGCAGCATCCTTCACTTGGGCATTCCAGAAGCCCTGAAGCAGGTTCTCTTGAAACACTTCCATACTACGAGCACAGCAAACGATGAAGTCTCAACAAAATCACCTCGGGAAGCGCCGCCAAGGAACCGTGTAATGACTTCGTCAGCGAGGCATAACAAAAACCTTTTGTGCATTTTCTCCCCAGCCATCGGCTGCAGCAACGCAGCATCTAAAAACGCATTCTGGCAGCAGCAACAACAACAACAACAACCACCACAACCACAACCACAAAAACAGCCACAACCACAACCACAACCACAACTACAACTATGCTGTACCGCGAGGGCCGCATCCTCCAGGGGATACGTCTGGCGATACCCTGACGATATCCCGAAATCAATTTGGTGGCACACGCTCCAAAGTTGAAAGAACATATCCGTTTAATTTCGCCAGCCACCGGGATGCACTTATATGACTTCGCCGCTACTCCCCTACTTAAACTGGCATAACAAGAATAGAGCTGCTATGACTTAGGCGGTTCCCTGCACACTAACGCAAGGCACAGTGCCCTGATGCCTAAATCCCTGACTGTCATCTCATATGCTGAAGCAGGCCTCCCTTTCAGATTTTGAAGCTCTTCCCCAACCCCAACCACAAACCCTAGACCCGACACCCTGAGTCGAAAATTCTGGAACCGGCATCCCACTCAGCTTCGAGCTTGTGCGCCATTGCGACTTGGCGTTACGGAGTTGCGCAAGGGCCGCCTAGGGGCCTGCATGGCTGAAGCAACAGCTTGTGAAATCTCACTAGGGATCATTGCCAGTCGTTAGTAGGGTTGCGCTGGTGGATGAAGCTGAATTAGCGTGGGCTTCACAAGTCCCGCCTTCTGCTTTGAAGACTCTTGGCTTCCTAATCCTATCTAATCCTCGGATGCCCTCATCAACAAGTTTTGGACACATGTCAAGCTTGTAATGGAGAGGTCGTCAAGCTGTGGGAATGTGGACCTATGCAAGTTCTTGCACCACCAAACAGCCAAAAACCCGGACGGATCCGGCCCCGCACACTGTGAATGTTCCATGAACACCGTCCAGGCCTGCAAGAGACCCAAGGACCATCTGCTGTGCCTCAGTGCTGAGCCAGGCATTCCAACTATGCCAAGGAACTGGGAGCTTGGAAAGGGGTCAATCTAGTAGAATTTGGCAGCACGTGCTCGGCATGTCTGCCAGAATTCTCAGCATGCTCGGAAAGCCTCCTCATAAAGTCTACAAAGGATCAACTTTGCAGGGTACACCTTTAATGCGTCACACACGTGGTCGTGTCCGAGTCAGTGAAGAAGTTGAGGCGCCCTGCGTCCCCGACCTCAAACCCTAAACCCATAAACCTTCATGCGGCAGTTTTTGTTTTCCTCCTGGCCCGGCAGAAAGCAGATCTTCCACCTCGGCTCGGGCAACTTCAAAACCCGCTTCAGCTCATACCTTTGGCTGACCGGTCAAGACGGTCGCGGTATAATCACTGTTCTTGCTCGCCCTGCAGAATGGTTCATGGCTATTGTGGTCAAATCGTTGGCCTTTTTTGCCATTCCTGATGTTTGCCGTAGGCCGTCCCTAAATCATGCTCACAGGATCCTGATGTAATCTCCGCGCAAAATCCTCATGCAGCCCCCATGTGGGAGTTCCCAAAACAGGGAACTCCGAAATATACCCTGTAACCCCTACAGATTCATGAATAATCTTCAGAATCCCTGAATAACTCACACTATTTAAAGAAACCTCCATGTGAAGCGTGGCCACAGGCCCAAGTCTGCTGGCAGCTCCGCTGGCAGCGGAGGAGGACTTCCCGGAAAAAGCAGCTCCTGCAACTTTGAAGCATAGCATAATTTAGTCGTGCATCGTACATTGTAGTCTTCTTCTTCTATGGGCTGTGCAAGACCCTAAGGCCCTGCTGGGGCGAACCCCGAGCCCTGCGCACTGTCCAGAGGTCTCATCCTGGGAGGCCCGGAGAAAGGTCGCTGCGAACAGAATTGGGCCCTCATAACCATTCACACTAAACTTCAGTACCCACCCACTATGCCCACATTGTAATCTCTCTTCTTCTTCTTCTTCTCACTGTGCTACCCCCTCCCGGAGGAGGAGGCTGGGGCAGCGCCCCACACAGGACGGGTCTCAGTCACAACGCAGCTCTGAGCCAGGCCCCCGACTAGCGATCATATGTAGGGCCGCGAAGACTCATGCTGAACCATACAGCCCCGGTCGCCGACATACTGACTAAAGAGTAATCCCTTGCGGCCTGCATATGAACCTCATCGCTTCTGACCCACGCGTGAGAACATCCACTGCCCTGACAGCTCGCTTGGCCGTCACCTGTACTAGCAGTGGGTGATGCTCCTAGTCCAACATTGCCACAAGAGGCCCCGGCAAATTTCTAGGACCCAAACACACTGCAGGTAATGATACACCAGTATCCCCAGCTAGAAGCTCCGGTCGGCCTTTTCCGGCATGTGAGACGCACGCATATCAGGCCTAGCCAAATTGGGTGACAATGCGAACCCTCTGGAAAGCTTTTTCCATAAACCCAGACTAACCCCCAACCCCATGCTGGACCTGACATGGTACTCGCTCCGAAGCCTCTGCTCTGCTGGCAGCGACTTCAGGGTGTTGGGACAAACTGTCTCGCAAAGAGGCTATGCTATTGCGCTGGGTTGAAGCAGTACCTAAGTCCTGGCTAACCAGCTCAAGCTCACCCCAGCTAACCAGCCCCTTTCCGCGCGTCGACGAGCAGTCACTGTGAGTGCTATTCGGTAGCTAGTAACCCAACTCTAAGGGCCGTGTACTTTGTGCGGTCGCATTGACTGCCCGAGCTCCGTGGAGATGCGCATTCTACCTGCACAGCCCCGGATCACATCACTCTTGAGGGGGTAATGACGTCAGCAACAGCGTAAGGAAGTTTGGGCTGCCCCATCCCGCCGGGCTCTCTCTTCTCTTTTGTTTTCTTCTTTCGGGATGAATTTTGGCCTTCGCCCCAGTGGACTTGGCTAGGTGCTCCGGGGCTGCCCCCATCATTCCCTTACAAAGATGTCACCAACAGCATAGTGATTGTCCCCGCTACACATGCAACACAAAAGTGTGGACCTTCCAGTGCGCACATGGCCCAAAAGCGCGTCCCAGGTGCAGTTCCCAGGTGTACGTTCATCGGACTGAGCTACTTGACGGAGGAGTGCCCCAGCCCGCTACTCTAGTCTTCTATCTGCACCTCTGGTTGTGCTCTGCATTTCCGGAAGTTGCTGCTCAGCTGGACGTAACTATAGGGGGAAAAACAAACTACCAACCAGGAGCCTTGAATTGCAAGCAACTGCCTCCCCTTATTTCCGGCTACGGCGCATGCTCCACATCACGCCCTGGCCTAAGGGAATGAAACCCGCTATGCAAAGGGACTTCTCAGCAGAGCTCGCGGTTCGGCTCACTCGTTTCTTCGCTGGTCTCGTCGCGGCAGGTGTTCTTGACCCTGTCGTATTCCCGCTGGTTTGCAAGGTCATAGGCAGCCTCGGCTTCCACAACCACAAGTTCCCACTGCCAGTCGGCGATGTGGTTCGCCTCGGCCGCCTCCTCTTCTTGCTGCTTCTCATACTCTTCTCGCCACTGGTTCTCCGCCCACACCTCAGTCTGCCTCTCGTCTTGGGTGCTTATGTCGTGCTCCTGGTCTTCTTGCTTTGCTCCACATGTTCCGCTCCTCTATCCTCCTTTGCCCTTGCAGCAGTTGTTGTGGCCGCTGCTGGGCCTCCAATCTGCGGCTTGCCTCCGGAGAGATCCAGATTCGGAAGGCCTCAATCTCTCTTTCGGGATTCTCTTCGACATCACAGGTGCGCACTCTCCTCCTTTTGCTTGTCTGGGAGAGGGT